TTGTTTCGATTCGAATCCTAAACTACAACATGTTATCTTAAGTATTCAATGAGTAAAAAAACAACTAGTTCATTAATGGGTGAACAAAGGAAAAATTTACGGAAGATAAGTAAATTAAGGGAATATCTATGAATAAAAAAGATTAGACCTCTCATAACTGATTAATAAATTAATAAAAAAATAGATCTCCTGCATATATGCACATAACTCATTAGCTTACGTACTATATATCTAAGAACATGATAACTTAAAGCAACCTCATATTAACGGTAAATAATTACATTTTTTTTGTAAATAATTATATTGATGTTAATTTCAGGTACATTCTAAAACAAACATTACACGATATTTTTTTAAAAATATAGTATTTGAATGAATTAAATGCAAATCCAACTACTAACAAACCTTAGTCATCATTTTCACCACCTAAAATCCCTATTTAAACCCATCATCACCTCTCACTTTTCTCACATCCAACAACAAAACACAAGCTTATAAAACAAAACTCAACTAAATCTCCAACTTTTGTAATCACCCAAAAAAAATCAAACACAATGGCTTTTGCTCTAAGGTTCTTCGCATGTCTCGTTTTGACGGTTTGCATAGTTGCAACAACAGATGCAGCAATCTCATGTGGCACAGTGGCAAGTAGCTTGGCTCCATGTGTCAACTACCTATCGAAAGGTGGGGTAGTACCGCCACCGTGCTGTGCAGGTGTCAAAAAGTTGAACAGTATGGCTAAAACCACACCGGACCGCCAACAAGCCTGCCAATGCATACAATCCGTTGCAAAGGGGGTTTCTGGTCTTAACCCAAATCTAGCCTCTGGTCTTCCTGGAAAGTGCGGTGTTAGCATTCCCTATCCGATCTCCATGAACACTGACTGCAAAAAGTAAGTATCTTTTGTTCTGTGTGCAAAACTTGTATCCTCTCTTATTTTCCATTTTACTTGGCTAATTACTTATTCTAAACACCATGGGAAATTTTTGTTTTCTAGCTAAATTTTTCTTATGTTGTAACATATATTCTTGATTGTTTGTGTTGTTGCAGCATCAAGTGAAGTGAGAGCTTATCATGTCATCGTATGGTTGAAGACTTGAAGTGTATTTGTTAGTATAAGTGAATAAAAGACGGCTATATATCTATATAAGCTGATACCACCATGTCCTAGTTTATCTTTGATGCTTTGATATCTTGTTGTTGTTGCATGCTTTAATTTGTAATCTTTTGCTTTCTTATGTGTATTTTAATATGTGTAAGATATGATAATAGATCAAATTTTATTATATATTCTCTCCAACTCCTACGTACGTACGTACGATATAATTATATAGTGAAGAGTATTATAGCCAATTAGCATAATAGAGTTTGTGAAGAAATACATGCACTAATTTTGTGAAGAAGTTATAACATTGAGATTGGTACCAAAACCTAACTATACTAGAATACGAAGAAGAAATAGTGGTTTCTTTTACCAAACTATAAATTTTAAATTGTACAATGACACAGACAATATTGGTTTAACGATCACCAATTTAATTAACTAACAACTAACATCAGCGCGTTTTTCATATAATATTAAATATGAAAATTATAGTGATAGTATTCATATAATCATCAGCAACATTGGTAGTCTCTTACCATTACAAAATAATAATAATAATTTATTAGACTAATACTTTAAATAGTGAAAAAACCATTTCAAGAACTTTTCATTTGAGGATATAATAAGCTGCCATATTTAAAATGTGTCAGCTTTTCGTGTAGAATTCCGGGTGAAGGAAGAAGACTTTATGATTCGTAGGTTTATGTTATCAACTGAAATTTTCGTTCCAAAAATTATTGAGAAACTATATGAGTGAATCTACAAGCTCAACGAACCAATATGTCAATGAGTCATAATCCAACCTATTGCAATGGTAAATGTCACAATAATCATGTAGAAGGATTCTTGGCGGGGATTGTCTTTGAGATGTCGGCCAAGCAAAGTACCCCCGTGCCCGTGTTACATTGATTGAGGCCCCAACGGATTTTCTAAAACAAAATTATAATAGTAACAAGCAACACTATGTGAAATTTTTTGTAGTATTTATCCTTTTTTTTTTCCTTCTATTTCAAATTTTCCTTTAATTATTTTCGAAATTTGAGAAAAATTTGTGAAATTTTTGTTGGAATTGGAAAGAGTAATTCTTTTAAACTTCAATAATATATTTGTGCCCCTTCAAATTATAATGCACATTTTGTTTACTAATTAAAATGTCTTTCAATTTGTTTTTAAAAAAATAGGCCATAGGCCAATGTTTCATATTTTATAACGTGGCCACGGCCCCAGGACTCTTTTTGCAACTCCAAAAGGAGGTGTAGTTAATTACATAGCCATTGGGAAAAGTTTTGTTAAATCACATTATCTCGAAACAAGAAAATTCTACTTCTGATTCATTCATTTCTTGACGTAACCCTATGTTAGAAATAGAACTGGTCCTGAAAATTTGGTAGGTTCAAGAGAGAAGACAAACTTTGGTGAGTTAACTATTCATATATAATAGCTATCTACTAATAACAAATTTCCATGGGTGGAAATCGAACTTCCGAGCCTTTCTAGATTATGATAGCGCATAGAATCAAAAATTGAGGGGTTGTAACTTGTAAATCATTGTGCAATTAAAAGAATAATGTCATTCATTATTTATCCACAAACACTCACTAATTATCTCGTTTGAATATTCTAAAAAAATTTAAGAGAAGATGGCAAGACATCAACTTCTTCATTATCTCTCTCCGACGAATAATCACCAACTACTTCCACATTTCAAATTGAATTAACTCACTAATTAACTACTTAATATGCCCATTCCCTCTTTCACTACAATTATTTCATACAAATTTGTAACATTATATTGGCGTCCTTCACCAGGCTAGAATTAAGCTATGGGAAAAAAATTCGATGTTCTTAAATACAATCTGAACTGATCAGGAAAAGTTATTAGTGTTTGAATACATAAGTCTATATCCAACTCCATCAATTAGTATAATATCAGGACTACATATCTGAATTCGGACTACATATCTGAATTCGCAGTCTTTTCCCAAAAAGCCTAAACATATTAATCAGGGTTAGACTTAAATTATATATTAGATCATCTTTTGGTACGAGACTTGAATTGATATCCTAACAATCCCTTATATATTAATAGAGAAGTGATTAGCTTAGGTGTTCTCTCTAGAATCATTCTCCTATTTTTATTATGACATGGCAATTAGACTCTCTAATTAAGTCCACTAATCATAATTACTTAGCCCATTATTATTTTTATTAATTCTATACACAAAAATATGAAATATCTACACGAAAATATCTTCCTATGACTATTATTAATTAGAGCATTGATAGCCCAAAAACCAATTTATTATTCTTAAAACCCTAATAACCTATGCCTAACTCACGTTAATATTGAATAACATACGTCTAACTTACATTATATATTGAATTCATTTACATTCAATTTACATTTTGAACCTTTTTTCCATTCTTCTCTTATCAACAAATAAGGTTTTTTTTAATGTTTTATTCTATGCTGATGATATTATGGAATTAAATAATTCTAAATATTCATAAGGCATTCTAGTGAAGGTAGAAATCGATTTTTCTTTTTTTATATTGAAATAATTATTTTTATTAAAATAATATTTTATAAAGTTATATGCGCATTGTATCATGATTCACGTACTTATTTAGCAATACTATTATCATCTGGTCAAATTAATGCCGCGACCTTCTCCATATATTTTTTCTGTTTAATTTATACAATTAATTTTTCTTATTTTTTGAAGGCGAATTTTATACAATTAATTATTAATTGGCATTCTAATATATTATATAATACTTTAAGAAAAAATAAGAAAATGATAGAATATCAATGTAAATATTTTTATACGTAAAATTAGAAAAATGTTTAATCTAACCGCCCAAATTCAATATTACATCTAACAAAAAATAATATTCATCTAAAATCTATTCGAATAAAAGAAACCAAAATCAAAGCATACAATATTATCCATAGTAGATATTTTCATTTTAGATATTCTTATTCACAAATAGAATAATTCACACTTGTTTAACCAAATGAATATTAAACACAATTATACATAATATGACGTGTTTTGTTTTGTCAAATTTTTATGTTATAAAAAATTTTAAACACAAAGTAATTGAATCGTAAATGAAGTTTGACATAAAAAAAATTGTAAATGAATTTATATTATTAAAATTACAATTAGTGCTAGCAAACGGAAAAAATATAATATTTTACAAAAAAACAGAATTAGAATCTAAATTAAACATCATTAGCAATTTTTAATTAGAGAATAATATTTTTCTAATTTATTTAATTTTTAACAAATATTTAACCGCGTATAACGCGGGGAGCCACCTAGTTTCCATTTAAATCAAGAACCACAAACAAAACCTGGAATTCATCTTACACTGCCATTTTTACCAACTAAACTTTACGCAACGTCAACAAAGATTTTCAATACAAGACTCAT